CTTTGGATTGAAACTAAGCAAGCAAAAATACTAAACCTCTAGGAAATACCAAGCTTCAGATGAATTAAGTCTTCACAAAAATTGGGCAGAGTAACGGCTGTATACATAAGAATTCTTAATCACGGACTAAGCATATATCAGAATAACCTTCACCCAAAGAAAATCAACCCAATGCCTTGGAGTAAACCCCAAGAACTTCAAACAAAATAACAATAGAGCAACAAGGTCTCAAAATATCAAGGCTTCTTATCCTAAGTCTGAGAGATCCACAACTCCATAATGCCAAGGATAGTAACCAATAGTACAAGTAACCTTAAAGTTTTTTATTGTTCAAGTTGATTATTAAGTATTTTTCAAAAGAAAAAAAAATCTCGGATGAGCAACGATAAAATGACATAAAGATAAATGCTCAGGTGAGCAAAAGAAAAAATGGTATGGAATGTAAATGCTAAAGTAAATGGTACATAAAAAATAAAGGCACAAAATAAAGGCATAAAGTAAAGACATAAAGTAAAGTTAATTGTTAGCGAATTAGAAATTAGTAGGTTAGTTGAATGACCATCTTGAAGCTTGCATTTGAAAACTCATTTGAAGATTGATAAAATTAAAGCTTCTCAATAACAAGTTTCATTTGCTTTTTATCAAGTATATCATTCATTTCAAGTGCTCAAAGCAACCACATATGATCAACGATGTTCAAATGATTCACTTAGACCAAAGTTCATGAATATCATTAGAGGATTGATAAAATCAAAGCCTCCTAACAATGAACTTCAAAGTTATTGAATCCAATGTTTTAAATTAAACATATTTGGCCTTACAAACATAATTTTGGGCCACGAATGATCATTTTTTGAATCGAGACAAATTTAGCGCTATGTTAAGCAATCGTAGGTAGATTTATGTGGGAGTCACACTTATTTTGAGGCCGGTCAATAGCAATCTATGTACCAACATTTTAGAGAAATGATATGTAGATAATTCTCCAAAAATATGTAGCATAAATAAAAACAAGAAAGGGATAAGATGAGGAGGGTGGGGTGTATCAGATCAAACTAGGGTTTCAAATATCATCAACATCATTCATCTTTTTTGGTGGATTTGGTTTTTCAACCTATCAACACCCAAGATCCAATGAGGTTGAGGAACTTACCCCAAAAAACACTCAAATGTCTCGAAATCAGGACCAATAAAAAATAATATAATATATTTAATATAAAACAAAATTTAAATGATTTTAAAAGGAAATAATTGGTAAAATACACAACATGTATTAAAACACTAAATAAAAATCCTAAAAAATATCAGATGTCAAACATGAGTCAATAAGTGTTAAAAAAAATTTCACAATTTTTTAAGGTCATAAACTATTTTTAAAATTTAAAGAAATAAGCAAAATAAACAAAAATTTATGAAAAATAGTAAAATCGAAAATAAAAATAAAATGAGGTTACTAATATTTGTCAAGAGGTCATTGGATTCTTCCATAATTTTTCAGAATTTAAAAATCAAGAAAAGTATTTTTAAATAATTAAAAGAACTCAAATAAAGTGAAAAATCATAAAAAAATCAAATCACAAACTAAAATTGTAAAAAAATAAAAATAAGAAAGATAAAAATCAAAAGTAATTCTGATTATTTTTTCACAATTTTAGAAGTTGAAATGAATTTTTTATGAATTTTGAAGTTTAAAACTATTTAATAAAAAAATAGAAAATAAAAATAATATCAAAATAATGTGGACCATTGGATCAACGCCAAAACGTGTTAGTAAGCTAATCCAAAGGATCAAACGTGTTGTGTATGATATGAACATTAGTGAATAAACCACCAGATCAATTATTTAAAATAACTTTGAAAAAAATAGGCGGCGCGATATCATTGGTTGAGAGATGAGATATTTGTCATCTTCAAACTCCAGTCACACGCGAGTTGCAAGTTCCATAAACTATAAAATTAGGAGCTCAGACCGGTGTCATTCGCTTCGTCTTATCAAGATGATTCCAATGACACCCTTACGAAAAGTTTATATAAATTGTAGCCTAGTCGATTTGCAAAAAAAAAAATAGAAGAAAAAGAATGAAAAGGGATTTGAAAATTCATGAGTAAAACTCACTTCCAGTTAAAAACCAACGATGCTATGAGTATCAGAGTGATGAGAGCTACATTGTAGTAACAAATTTGGAGAGAATTGATGGGGGAATTTACCCGTTGAAGCTCAACTTTAGAGCTCTGAAACTTGACTTGGCTAGTATGATTTTTGACACCTCAAGACTTGGTTCTTCTTCTATTAGCTTCAGTGAAGTTCAAGGATGGATAATGAGCAAATAAATTGGATTGAAAAACAAGGGAAGAGTGGATTCGAAAACTTAGAATTGTGAGTTATGGAGAGAGTTTGGCAGGGTGATTCAGGCTATCCAAGCTTGTCAAAAGGAGTGGAATATGATCTGTATTTATAGGAGAAGTAAATGGAATCAAGAAGAGGGGTGAATGATGCACTCTCAATCGAATTCATGCACACATGTGCTCCTGCTTCCTACTTCACATGATTTCTAGAAAGCGATAAATGCGGAAATATAATTTGGAAGCAGTATAATACCAAACAAACAATAATGTCCGTAAAAAGTGCAACCAAAGCAAAGAAACCCAGAATACTTCGCGCAAGCTGACATCAACAAATAAACAGTCAGAGATCGAATATTCAGAATAGGTGTCGAAGCTTCATCGATGTGAAAATAAATCACAATTGGAATCCAAACATGTCCGCATATCAAACAATGAACCTGCATAAGACTCAACTCAACATAAAAAGGTTCACAAGTTTCAAGTAATCGGAAAAATTAGGAATTAATTTCCTAAAAATCAAATGAGAAATCTAACAATTTTTTATTGATTTTTTATGGTTTATTACCTAAAAATAATAAGAGGCATTCCTAAGATCTACATTTTTTATTGTTTTTATTATATGTATTTTGTTACTATTTTTATTATACAAAAAAAAGAATGTTGCAGGCAGAATGAGACCTTAAGGCCCAACAACAAAGGTCCAGATCAGTTTTTGTTGTAAGCTAGCCAAGCCAAAAAACACGGAACGGGCCTAAGGTGAAGTAAGTTGTCGCTAAGGCCCAGCAATGTGATCCAATAAACTATTTTTATTTTCTAGTTCATGAGCTTATCCAAAAAAAAAAAAACAGACTCTCAACTAGTATAGATTTCGGCCCAAACCAATATTTTATCACCCAAACCTTCTTTTATATTCACTGCCTTTGTTACCTATTGAATTTTATAAAAAAAACAATTAACAAAAGAAAATAAGAGGAATTAGGGCATTCGACTGTGACGGTCTCAATTCTTCACAAACACAGAGAATTATCTTCTTCTCTTTTGCTGTGCGACAACTTCTTCCCTCTGATTGATCATCACAGCGCCGTCGTGCTTTCTTCTTCACCTCGTCAACAACAGCGACGTTCAACCTTCATCATCGCCTTAAAATCTTGTCGTTATCCTTCATCTCTCTCAAAATCCGTTTTGATTAATCTTCGCTCGCGGCCATGTTTCGCGGTTCAAGCAGAAAAGACGATGATGATTCGTGAAGGTTTTGATTGAGCCGCAGCAAACAACGTTCTATGCCATGACTTGGAGTATAAGGCAAAAGAAGATGCGCAAAGCAGTAATTAATCCGTCACTTACCTACCGGAGACGCTCCGACGACTTCTTCAATCGACGAAGATGAGAAAACTAGAGAACACTTGAGGTTTCGGTATGCGTATTTTACTCTATCACTTTCAATCGATTTCGTCATTTCCATGATTCCTTCTTCTGTCTGTGTTTTGATCTTGTGATATCGTTGCAGTTACGAATTCTTGATGCAGGTTGCGTTGAAGATGAAGGTGTAAATGAGGATGCAAATTCGTTAATGTGAAATGAATGGAGGCTAATGAAGATTTGAAGAAGCGGAATTGATGCGATTATTAGAGATAGAAGAAGGAGATTGAAGTAGGTTGATGGAGAGTATGATGAAGAACGAAGTTCAGAAAAGGGTCCGAGAGATGAAGATTGAAGATCAGAAATTGCAGAGGGAGTTCAAAGGTGAGTCTTGCGATTTTTGTTATCTTCTTTTTGTATCAATCCTGTCAAATCCCTCTCTCTCCCTCTTCCGGATTTCTGTTATGATCTCATCAAACCCCGGAAACTCTGTTACGATTCTGTTATGAGTTTGTTAGAGAAGTTTTAGTCTGTTAGGAAAAGTTGGGATTTTGTTTTTGATGACTGAAAAAAACAGTTAGGGATTAGAAAGTTAGTTTGGACCTGTTTTGACAGGAAGGGGTTGGAAAACTATTAGAAAAATTCTGTTAGTTAGGAAGGTTGAGAAATTGGTTAGAGGTTGGTTACAATTTGTTTGGGTTAAAATAGGGTCCTGACTTCTGTTAAAAGGGTTTTATGAAAAGCTAATAGTTTTATGGTTTGAACATGGTTGCAGGGTCCATTTGTGATGACACAACAATATCTCCTAAAGAAGGACCAATAGGCACTCCAGGCTTCGTTACAGATTTAATCCCAGATCTTTCTTCTTTTTGTTTTCCTTTCTGTTTCTGACTGTCATAAGAAGCTTCCATTTCAAATGTGCTAATATCCGCAACGATGATATCCATATTTTGTAGTTGCAGCTCTACGCATTTCTTCTCGATAAAAGATTTTTGAGTTGTGGAAGTGCAGATTCCTGTAACTCTGCAATTACTATAATTCTTAGCAATGTATAAAGTGAGAGAACCCCAACCGCATCCAACGTCAAGAACGGTATGACCATCTTTCATATTTTATCTCTCGCAATACAGTTTCAACATCTCTTCTTCAGCATCTTCCAATGTCTTCGAGGCAGAAGAGAAATAACAAGAACTATATTTGAGATTGTTTCGGAGAACGAGCTTAAAGAAAGAGGTTGGTAATTCATGATGTTAAGATTTAGGCTTATTAGTAATAACTGCAATCGGCATCTCTTGTTAAGAATGTACGAATTGGAGAAGATCAGAGAGCTGAAGTTCAGAAGAAGGCTTGTAAGAAGATCGAAGGCGAGTGGCCAAAAGCAAGCAAAGTAGAGTTATGTTTGGAAGCACATTTGGAACTGTTTTTTTTTTAAGTTTAGAAACAATTTAGCATGGGTTTTGTAATGGCATTTTGTATGTGTCTCGATCATTTGAATGATGGTTATATTAACTTGTAATCGATCTTGAATGAGCTTATATTGTAATCTCCATTTTATGTAATCTTTCAAGAGTGTAATTGAATGATGAACCTTTTGTAGCTTGCGAACTTTGAATGAAGCTTGAATGAAGTTTTCTTGGATCATGAGTGATGTTTTGAATGTAATCTTGTAATGGTGATGACTTTGTAATAACAATGGAACAAAACCTTTTGTATTTTTTTGAATCCAATTGATGAAACTCCATATATTCAAAACTTTTTCTTTCACCATGAACTTGAAATCTCAACCTTCTTTGATTTGATCTCCATGTAAGAACTATCAATATGGTTTGCTTTTGTGTTTTGAAATGGTGTTTTGGCCTTGTAAGAGAAACTTTGTTTTGCAATTCCTTCTCTTTTTTTTTTTTTTGAGTATTTCAACTTCTAATGACTTAAAGATATTAATGAACAAAACTTCCTCTAATTTGTATTTTTAAATTCAAAATATTTTCTTTGATTTTGCAATATAGAATAAACCATGAAGTTTGGCATCCCGAATAATGGATGATGAATTGCTTGAAGCTTAAATGGGATCATATTTTGGACAATTTGATAATGAATTTGGACGATGAAGGGTTTGGATCCATACTGGGATGATGCTTGAATTAAGTCTTGAACAAGTCTTCCATCTTTAAAATATAAATCCACTTGGCAAATTTCTCCAAAATAGTCACTTGAAAGGAATTTGAATGGAATTGGAATGAATGAGAAATGTCTTAAATTTCAAGTAATTCTCCTTTAAAGAAATTCTCATAAAACAGGCTTGAATTCGCATTGACTTTGAATGACATTTGAATCATCAACTTTGAATTTCATACAAACCATTATACAAATTTTCTTGAATTAATCTGGACTTAATGACATTTCTTGAACGAATCTCCAAATCACCTCCAATGAAACCTTAATCTAAATCTTCAATTTAATCAAAGTCCTATAAGCAAACCTACCTTGATTCACAGCTTAAGGACCAAGAATCATCTTTATGAAATTTTCAATCAATCATTGACCATTTAACAAATAGCATCACAAGAAAGAAGTCATTGATTCAATCCTCTAGACTTCTTAAAAAGAATGTCTACTGGAGAAAGCACTTAGGAGAAACCCTAATTATTGCTCTTTGAAAAATCTTGATGAAGATAACTTTTTATCTTGAGGAATTTTGTCAAGGAAGACGTCTATGATGCTTGAGATTCAAAATCCTAATCTCATACCAAGAATGATAAGAGCACTAGTTGAATCAACTTTGAGTAAGATAGCAACCTCAATTCGTAGGGAAAACCCTAATGCCAGGAGCTCTTTTTTTGATCTCATAGCCATGGAATTAATGATATGCATGAGATATATATGATGTGATGAGGGATCTTAGGGGAAAAAGTTGAGGTATAACAGGTCTATCTGATTCTTGAACATATGTTCATAGAGTATACATCTTCGAATATATGAACAATCTATTTTTAGGAACTTTAATCAGAGTTCTTTCATTTTGACCTGTCTTAGAATGTCTAGTGAACTTGTTCAGAGTTCCTCGGTTAATTAACAAACAGACAGACTTATGTCAGTGGTAAATGCACATTTTATATCATTCATTTATTATGATGCATTTTTTAAGATAAGGTTCATCAAAATTAAAACTATTATACTTCTCCCCCTTTTTGACATCATCAAAAAGATAACTGTGTGTGAAGACACAAAAGATTAAGAGCTAAGAAGGATTAAAATAATATGTCAATTAATCACCAGGATAATTTATTATAGAATAGCATATGCAAATAAAGAAACTAAACGAGAATCCTAGATCCTAGGTTCCCGAAGTTGCAGGAGCAGATGATGAAGGTTCATAAATGTTTGTCAAAATCATCTTGAGCATAATTTGAACCGATTCATTGACCTTATTTTGAGCTTCGAAGTGTTCTTTGAACATTTTCTGCTCTTCCATTATTTTGTCAATGGATTTTTTCAGATTGCAGTTAGACTCAGAGTTGGATACCATCATAGCTTGCTGTTTACCTTTATCTTCAGCAGCCTTTGCAGCTTCTGCAGCCAACCTGGCTTCCTCCACAACTTTAGCTTCTTCTTCTGTTTTTAGTCTTACTCCTTCAGCTTCAACAAGGCGAGCTTTTTCTTCAGCTTCTCTTTTCTTAGCAGCAAGCAGTTGAAAAGCTTGAAGTTGTTCCATCTTGTCCTGGACCAGCTGAACTTCTGCATCCATCATAGCCTCTGAAAAACTTTGCAGTTTTTCAAATTATGACTTTCTAGATTCAGAAGGTAGAGCTTGAGATTCTTAGGATTCAGTTCTTTGTTTCTTCTGTCCCTTTTTCTTTGGCTTAGAAGGCTCCGATAATTATTTTCTTTTCTCTTTTGAAGTGTTAGCAAGAATTGGATCAGAAGTAAGAGTATCAGTCTTACTAGAAGTTTAAGATGTTGTAGTTCCATAAATTGTTTCTTGAAGAAATATAGTTTTCTTCTTATTTTTCTTTGGTTCATAAGTGTTTGATCTTTTCTTTCCTTTTCTTATACCACAATTAACTTCTTCAGCATGAAGTTTAGTATAATCAAAATTGGATATATCATGTCCTTCTTCTTCCATCATCCGAACATATATATCAACACTTGATATATTATCCATCTTTGAAAAAAGAGGATAATCAGTAATTGCAATCCTTCTTTGAGTAGTGGCTTCAAACGGTTCACCCAGAGGTTTGACTTTAATCTTTTCAATTATTTGCATGTTCCTTATGTTTCGTGCAGTAAATGATTCTCCAATGCTGGGAGACAGATCTTCTGTGTAATTTGCTTCTTCCACCATAGATTTTACCTACCCACTTTTCACATGAATGTCAATCAGAAGACGTCCACAAGGAACATAGGCAGGAACATTCTTCTTAGGATTTGCAGTGGTTCTCGTCTTCTTAACAATATCCTTCAGATAATTGAATAAGACATAGGGAAGATTGATCTTCTGCTTGGTTAGAAAATAGTACAACATGAACTTCTAACTAAAATTGAAGTAATCAGAAGAGTTTGAAGCATGTCTAGGGTTTATACAGCCCAAAATGATCTTGTGCCAAACTCTCAGGTTTGGATGAAGATCATTGCTCTTGTATTTTGTCTTCTCATCAGAGTAATTATTGAACAATACTTGATTGAGTGACTTATTTGTAAACTTCAATTTACTCTTTGTAGTATTAAACTTCTTCTCCATTATATATGTACATTTGCCTTCCATAAACTTCAAACCTAGAAGATCAGCAAAGTATTTTTCAGTTATGACAATCCTTAATCCTATGACATCGGAAATAATATATAGATCATCACAATTAGCATTCTTCCAGAAGTATTTTACTAAGTCTCCATAAACAGGACCATGAAGCCTGTTAAAGTAGATCTCACATCCCTGAGCTTCTAATTCTTCTTTAAGGTCAACCCCATTATCAGCTAAATTGTCGAAATCAACCAAAAATTCCCAAAGAACATCTAGTTCTTGTGGAGGAAGGATGCAATGAACTTGAGAGGTTTGTTGAGTGATGTGATTCTCATTAACTTCTGTAGAAGAAGCAATAACAATAGTTTTCTTTACAGGAGGAACTGATGAAAATGATGGAGCGAAGATAGATGATGATGAAAAGCCGGAAGTAACTGGTGGTTTTGATGCTTGATCAAATTACTTTGCAAACTTAATTGCTTCTTTGTGAGAATTGGTCATCATGAATTTGATTTGAAGAAGATGAATGAATGATGAAGGTTGTTGACGGAGAACCCAAAAAAGCGATTGAAGGAGAAGGGGGATTTAGGGTTTCTAATTTGTGAGGAAGTGAAAGTGAGTGTGTGATAGTGTAAGAATGTGAGTTATATATAAGGATAATGAAATTTTTAATTATAACATTTAAATGTCAAATAAAATAAAGAATAACATTTTTTAAAGACACGGTATGAGAGGTAATAAATGAAGGCAATCATGAAAGAATCAATTCCAAGAAACCGCACACTGTTCATGATCTAGCTTAGGTAGTGTTGTACCCCAACATTTCCCTCTCATTTCTCAAGGCATTTCTCACAAGGATTCTCAAAGTTCAAGCTTGCACAAGTACAATTTGAGGAAACCGTTAAAAAGGGAAAACAAATAAAAATAATCTTTTCAACAAAATTAGAGAAAAATAAGTTTTCTTCGATTTCCCTTGCTTCGATTGGATTTTTGTCCCCTGCAAATCTACTTCGATTCATAAGGCTTCGATTGGACTTTTGTCTCCTTCAGGCCTTCTTCGATTTCCCTTGTTTCGTTTGGATTTTAGTCTCTTTCAAGACTGCTTCGATTGGACTAGGACTTCCTTAAAGCTTCCTTCGATTCAGAAGGAAATTATCTTCATACAAGCTTCGACTGATTTTGTTTCCCTTTGAAACAGCATCCTTCAATTCAGGAAGTAAAGGCCTCCTTTTGGTTTTCTTTGTTTCAGAAAGTCAATAATCTTCTGAAAGCTTCCTTTGCTTCAGAAGGCAATAACCTTTTGAAAAGTATCCTTCGATTGCACCTTTTAGCATCCTTCGGTTGCACAATTTGCCTTCTGCATACCTCTTTCGTTTGGGTATGTGGGCCCCCTTTGTTGCAAGCTTTGTTTGGCCATGTGATAGGCAAGCCTTCGATTGGACAAGAGCCACCTACATACAAAGCTTCGATTGGAGTTTTGATTCCCTTAGAATAAGCATACTTCGAATTCAATATGAACCATTTGAAGAAAGCTTGTTTGAAGAATATTGAGCAAATATCATAGCCTTATCTTCCAAATCTCACTTGTCAGGCTATGTTACTTCCAAATCTCCACATAATCATAGGTTTACACAAGTTTATGATACATTACATAAAGGTTCGAAACTTTGTCTACTGGATAATATCATTCTTGGATGAAAGGACAAAAGTTATGTACCCTTTTTTTTATATAAAAAGTACTTTAATCACAAAAGTAGCTTCCAAACTGATTTTTGTCTGAATACAAGCAATGCCAAAAGCACAAGTCCAATCTCCTACCAGCAGGCCCCCACTTATACTGGAAACGTGGGAACAACGAAAAAGGACAAGACTTGTTTCACCTTTAACCAAACCATGGTTTGTCATCATACAAACCTGGTTACTTCAAACATGTTGATTCTTTTCTCTATAAATAGAGAAGCATTTGCAAGCTCAAAGGAGAACTTTTTGGTCAAAGGAACGAATCTCCAAAATTTTCTCAAACACAACAAAGCTCTCAAACACTTAAACACTCGTGAAAACAAAAATCCAGAATCTAACATTTACCTCTTTCGATTCTGGAAAGTCCCACACACTTTTGTTCCCCTTCGAATCCAGCAAGAAAGAACACTACACCTGTTCTCCTCCTTCGAACCCAGAAATAAAAAACACCACCCTTACACCTCCTGACCTTCGAATCCATTCAAAGGAACACCACACCTGTTTCTTTCCTTCGAATCCATGAGCATTTAGTTCAACCACTTGAAGGTCCAGCACACCCTCCAACCTCCAGCAAGGTAAGTTTTTCCAAACCTTGAGCTTTTTGTTTCTGGTATAACATGTAAATAAGCTTTTATTTCGTTTCAAGCATGTACATACCATTGTTCTTTTCGTCTCCACCCTTTTAATGTGTTTTCAGAGCTAACCCTTTCGTTTTGCTTCTTGTTTACCTAAACATGCATTAAGTATTAAACTGGTTGTAAGACAGTGCTAGCATGGCCTTAGGCCATGTTGCTATTTAACATCTCAAACGAAGGACAACAAAAAATAGGAAGTAAAGAACGAAGCCTTTGGCTTCTACACTAACCTCCAGGTCAAACGAAAGAGGCAACCAGAAGGCACACCATGCTGACTTCCAGGCCCAGTCGAAAGGCACAACATGCTACTTCCAGGCCCCAATCGAAGGACACGCCTACACTGGTGCCAGCCCCTAATCGAAGGAAGCCAGAAAGTGAAAAATTGAAGGGTCTTCTTCCCCAATCCAAAGACCCTCATTTTTCTTGCTTTTATCTTATTTTTGCCTTTATATTTTCATGCACTTCAATATGGTTGTAATAGCGTAGGATTTTATCTTTCTGCATTTTATTCCTTTTGTATGCTTGCTAGTAAAATAGGACATTGTTGTACCCCAAAATTTGCCCTCGCATTTTTTCCCCAAGAAATCTCAGCATCAAACATTTCCTGACTTTTCAAACTGGCTCAAGAATCGGACAAACGGACTTTTCTTGACAGTCAAGCAGAATTAGGGTTTTTACTGATTTTCAGAGCTCTGAATTGTTTCATACAGTGGGCTTAGGGTTTGGTTGATTTTTGGTTCAATTTTGATCAAGCGAGCGTGATTTGGCATTTAATCGGGAATTAGGGTTTTATGGGCATATTCTCAGAAGAATTTGAATTCCACAGCACTTTGCGGTTTATTTCAAGATTCGGATTAAAATTCGCATTATTTTGGTTTAATCAGCAAAAGAGACAGTGGTTTGAATTCAGTACGTTTTGATTGGGCCAGTCAGATACAAGATGCAGTTTTGAATTCACAGTGTTCATGTGTTGATCAGTTTACTTGGTTTAATTGCTGCTTTGCTTAGGATGTTGGATAAGACAGGTTTATTGGATCAATGTTGTTTTATTTTAGTTATTTATTATTCTGAAATTAAATGATTGAATTTATTTTTCAATTGTTTTAATTCTAAGAATTTTAAATAAATAAATAAGCAATAAAGAAAATGGAACCAATTGGATAATTTGGATTTTTATTGATATTTGAATTATTTACAAATTGTTGTTACAAACAATAATTTACATTTAATTTAAATATTACATAGAATGAAAAACTATCCTATTTTCTAAATATTCTTTGTGCTTCGTTCCGCTCCGGTATTCCATTTTTCATCTGCAAAAAGAAATAAGAAAAGTCAGAAAGCATCAAATTGGAAAAGACAGTAAAAGTTGCTCATCATTAGGGGCCACTGACTGGGATCAGTTGCCCTCTCTGCAAATCACGGGATTTCTCCCGGTTCACAGAGAGGGAAGATTATTTTTATTTCATGAAATGCAAATGTCAAAAATGCATAAGTCATAAATTTCAGGCTACATAAGAATCTCAATTTTCAATCCAAACTGAAAAAGTTCAATCCAAACTTCCCATTCAAAACTAAACTGAAAGTCCAATGCCAAAGAAAATCAAGAAAGTACTCAAGGCTGTCATAAAAGAT